ATGGACAAGTGCCCTGCAGGGGCTTGTCCCGAGTGGCACGGTAGAAGCCACTCTGCCCGGCTCCGAGGCTCCCGATCTGCCCGCTGAGCCAGAAGAGAGTAGCCAGCTGGTGGCCAGGTCACGGGACTCACTGCAGCCAGAGGCTGCTCAGCTGCAGGCGCCTAGGAAGCAGTGCTAGGGCTGGGGGTCAGGTGTCAGAGGTCACCGAGGGCAAGGTGACAGCTATCCAGCCAGCAGGCCCTCTGAGGCCATCGGAAAATGACTTCCCATGCAGTGTCGACTGGCTGCTGTCCCTCTGAGAGTGGGGGCCCCTAGGGTGAGGTAACTAAGCAAGGGACTGACCATCCTCATTATGGTTATGAGGTGTTTGCCAGGCGAAGACAAGGACACCTGGAATACCCTGGGACTCGTCTAATGCTGCACAGCTAGAAAAGGCCGAGATGAGTCCAGAGGCACCTGGGTCTCCTCCGGGCTCCCTGTAATAGAGTCTAACACTTGTAGGTTGCCTGGAGGCACCTGGGTCTTCTCTGGGCTCCCTATAATAGAGTCTAACACGTGGAGGTTGTCCAGAAGCACCTGGGTCTTCTCTGGGCTCCCTGTAATATAGTCTAACATGTGGAGGTTGTCCAGAGGGACCAGGATCTTCTCTGGGCTCCCTGTAATAGAGTCTAACATGTGGAGGTTGTCCAGAGGGACCAGGGTCTTCTCTGGGCTCCCTATAATAGAGTCTAGCACGCGGAGGTTGCCTGGAGGCACCACGGTCTTCTCTGGGCTCCCTATAATAGAGTCTAACACGTGGCAGTTGTCCAGAGAGACCAGGATCTTCTCCGGGCTCCCTATAATAGAGTCTAACATGTGGAGGTTGTCCAGAAGCACCTGGGTCTTCTCCAGGCTCCCTGTAATAGAGTCTAACACGTGGCAGTTGTCCAGAGGGACCAGGGTCTTCTCTGGGCTCCCAGTAATAGAGTCTAGCACGGGGAGGTTGTTGAGACCCGGAGGCACCTGGGTCTCCTCTGTGCTCCCTGTAATAGGATTCCTTTCCATGGAGCTCGTTGCTGGCCTCACCCTGGAGCAGTTATAGTGAACCTGGGCCTCAGGAGAAGCTGCGCTGCCCTGGAATCAAAGGTGGTGAACTCCTTGGACCGAGCTGCCCTCCTTTGCCCATCCACTCGTGCGGCGACCCGACTGAGCTCCGTGAGTGCAGGGGCTTGTGTGCTGGAGCCCACCCATCCCAGCGCACCTCAGGGCCTGGCGTCCACTCGCATTCCATAGTTGCTGAGTAAGTGAGTGCCCTCCCAAGGCAACCCCTCCCTGGTCCATCGTGACTGCTACAGAGAGACTGTCTACCCGCAGTGCCCTGTGAGGACTTCCCCCACTGCCCCTGGTGTTGCCCCGGACGCGGTCCGGGTCTCTGCCTAGACCTTGTCCTCCAGAGCCTTCTTCGCCTCCCTTTTGCTGGGCGTGGCTCTGGTCTGACCTAGGTGCTGTGCAGTTTTCCGGTGTCTCCCCAGCACCCTTCGGGGCAGGCACAGAGGAACACAGAGACAATCACCCCACAAGGGCACGCAGCTGGTAGAGATTCCCCCAAACATAAAACAGGGATAACATATCTATGGTCACAGATCAGAACGGTGGCGGGAGTGTCCCTCGACACTGAAAGCTGGCGCCGTTCCCACAGTCCTCCTTTCACAGCAGGGCCGCTGCAAGCTCTCGGTTTTTCTGACATCAGCTCCACGGAGGAGCTTCATCTCGACACGGCCCTGCGAGACGTGCACCATCATGTCCCCGGACGGTGTAGGACACGGAGGCACAGGGCCTGCCATAGCCACCGAGGTCCTCCACCGCTGCCGTGGGGCCAGGAGGGCACGGTCCCAGCAGGTCACGTGCCATGATGAGAACACGAGTTTGTAGGGCTGTTGATCACTATCGAGCCTCCCCTGCCCCACTGCCATCACCCCACTGGGCATCTTCCATTTCACGGGTCTCTTCTCATCTTCCCTGGGTTCACTCGAGGGGAGCATGCTCCAGAACCCCACTGCCAGGCTCCCAGTGGGCCCGAGGTCACAGAGCCGGGAGGTGAAGACCCTGGCTGTTGCTCCGGAGAGCCCGTCTGTGTGTGGTTGGCGAGGCTGACCGCCCACGGGCACTCGTCACGTGCTGGGCCCTTGTGAGACTGGTCCTGCCCGCCACCCATTTTCACCCGAGGAAACTGCAGCTCAGAGGCGAGGCCACCTGCCCCAGACAGCATAGACTAGAAATGAGTTGGGTCTGACTCCCAGCCTGGGCTCTGGCCGCTCTGCTGCTCTGCAGCACCTGCACCCCGAGGGGACAGGGGTGGGTACTCACCTCCTTGATGAAGTTCATGAAGCGGCCGCCGAAGCGCCAGGCCTTGTGCCGGTGGCACTGCAGGGAGTTCACGGTCATCTGGGGCGCCCGCTGGTAGCACACAGACACGATGTGCACAGCGTCGTACAGTAAGGCCGCGTCGGTCTGGAGAAGGCCGGGGGCTGCTGAGAGGCTGCCCTGTCCCGCCCCTGCCCCGCCCAGGCCGGGTGAGAAAACCCCGGGAGCTCCTTGGAGAGAGCTGCCCTCCTTCACATACGGGGTTGCACCCATTGGCGCCGCTGTATCCAGGCATCCCCCAGTCACCCAGAGGGAGGCCGAGGGAGGACTTCAGGGTGGCCTGACCGACACCGCCTTCTGGGAGGGGCCCTGCCCTGCTCTACCTTGCTCTGCCCTGGTGAGAGGCCAGGCTGGGGACTGCTGCTTTGCAGACATCGAGAGACTCCTCCAGCCCCACCCTGGCCTGGAGCTGCAGCAACCCTGAGCCCTCCCGATTTCCTCCCCCACCCCCTGCACCTTTCCCGCCTACAGAGCTCGTGCCCAGGGGTCCGGCCTCGCCCACTGTCCTCTGTGGCTCCCTGCAGAGCCTGTGGTCCACCCGCACCTTGGAGCAGAGCTGTGCCTGGCCCCGCTGTGTCCCCAGCTTCTGGCCCAGGGCCTGCCTGCTGCGTGGCAGGCGAAGGAGAGAAGTGGAGGAGGGTGAGGGAGACAGGGCAGAGAGGGTGGGGGCCGCCATCATCAGTACCATCATCACTCCGTCCAGCAGGCCGGACTCGGCCCGGGGAGCCGCCTGCAGCCGCTCCATGGACCACTTCTCCACAATGGCCGACACATGCGGGTTGTCCACGTTGAGGATGCGGAAGCCCGTCAGGTTCACCCCTGAGTAGCGGTAGGGCTCCAGGTCTAACGCGTACAGGTCCTGGGTGGAGAGCTTAGTGTGACTCTAGCTGTGGCCGCTGTGGGGTCCGGCCCACCTCCAGGACCCTCCCCAGCCAGGGAGCCCCAGGGTCTGGGGCTGTGGCTTCCGCAGAGCCCTGGCTC